GGTCAGAGTTCCTGGCTACAGATCCAGAGGTCAGGGTTCAATTCCTGACGCTACCAGATTTTCTGGAACAGGGTCCACTCATCCTTGTGAGGATAACTGTGGAGCTATTTCAAGGAAATAGCAGCTCCCATCTAGAAAACCGAAATCAAGGGCTGTGGGGATTTGTTGCACTGACAATGCAACACCCTCTATCCACCAAAGTTGGCACTAACTTCGCCAACAAGTGGCAGTCGCTTGGTCAGTATAGTTTTCATGTGGATTAGAATCACAGGGTTTTGTTTGTTATGCATATGCATGGATCTTGGTCTTTCACCCTAATGAAAGAACATAAATGAGGTTGTTTCAGAACTGGGCGCTAAGGATGTCACTATTCAGAAGACAGTGAAAACAAAGTAGGTGTAAATGACAGAAGATTCATATTGTTTAAATGTGCATAATTTTTAGTGGCCCCTGCACACTTTGCCATTACAGTGCGACTTTCTTTGATATTATGTATGTGATATTTAACATTAGACTTAGTAGTGTAATGACAGTTCTAAATCTATTTGCAGATTACATCACCCTATGTTGGCAGTTGGGAGTGATGATCCAAACACTGCAAATGGAGGCAAAGTATTCATTTATGAATTTAGCGAAAACTCTCGCCGTTGGTCAAAAACTGAGACTTTAGTAGGTGTAACAGAGGCTGTCCATGACATTGCTTTTGCACCAAATCTGGGCCGTAGTTACCATCTTCTTGCAATAGCTACAAGTAATGTGCGGATTATCACTTTAAAACCTTTGCAGTAAGTGTTTTATATCTGAGCATGAATGACTGTTATTGTTGATGAAATGCAAGTTCCTTTTTTCTGTGTAGGGTGTACCCAGTCTCAAAGAAATAAGTCACATCTTTCAAACAAACCATGTCACATGAGAACAGAATTAATGAAGTTAAGTGTATTAGCCAGCAGAACTGATATCTGTAACAGCTGCGGGAAGAAAATGCATCACTCAGTATAGAAAATTGCAGCCCATAGAAAGTAAATTTCCATTTGAGTGAGAAAGTTGAAAGAATGTGGATAAATTAATGATAAACCATGATCCATGAGGTTTCAGACCAGCAAGGAGACTGGCATATAGGAAGAAGAATTTCAGAGGAGTTCACTGAAATTAACATAACTGTCACCTATTTAACTGCCACAGAACACAAGACTCTGTTGCAAATTCTTATAAAATTGGAATGTTTCAAATATTACAGAAAGCA